TGGCGTGGAGGGGCAGGGTGTCCATGCACCAGCTTCCCTTGCAGCTCTGGTACGGACAGTTGCCCTCTGTACGGACAGTATTCCTCCTGTGCACGACGGGAGTGTCACCGCACAGCCACAGAGGGAACCACTCCTGTCAACGGGCACATTTATGGGCAAAATCTGTCCCTAATGTTTAGCCAATTAGCCAAAGGGCGAGGGGCACCTGGGCGAGGGAGGCAGCCGTGGTCTGTGCGAGAGGCCAGGTCCCGCCTCCTGTTCTGCAGCTAGAGCCTCACCTCACGTTCCACCACCCCCAGAAGGCAAGGCGGCTCTCAAAATAGGACATTCCACCTTCATGTACTTCTTCCTGCCTCAAAAAATGGTATTTTTCATTGAATTGGAAATCTTGCCTTTTCCAGGCTCTGTCCTTTCATGAAAGGGCATTGCCACTGTGATCCTGCCACAGGGCTGCAGAGAGCCGTGAGGCCGCCAGGAGGCCAGCCCTGGGTGGTGTCCGAGTTCACGACGTGACAGTCATGTCTGCTCGTGCAACGTCATTTACACCCCGGGGGTGTTCTCAGCATCACCAGGGCAAGCTGCAGCCACAGTGGCCCCAGAGCTCGGTGCCTCATGGTGGCCTCTGCTGGCTCTGCGTGTGCACCTGGACTAGCTCAGCAGATTGCAAGCTCATCCCCAGCGAGAGCCACATTGCAGGCGATCAGGGCCTGGCTCCGTGTGTTTGTGTTTTGTTTTCTGCGGTGCTGGGGGGATTGAATGCAGGGCGATTGAATGCACGTGCTAGGCAGACACTCTACCTCTGAGCCGCACCCCCAGCCCAGGGCCCACACTCTTAGATGCTGCCCCAGGATTTCTCACGAGGCAGAAGCCCACACCAAGAGCTCCCCAGACATTTGAAGGATTAAACAAATGGATTCCAAGTGCAGTGACGGGGTGCGGGAAGATGTCTGCAGATGATTTCTGGTGTACTTCCTTGGGGCCTATGTTGGTGCAGGGTAGGGCCTATGAGCATTTTCCTTCCTCTCTACTTATGTCTGGAAGATTCACCAAATGATTCTGAGTTGCTATCAATAAAAACAGAAGCACAATTAGACTTTTCAAACACACACGATTAATTGCAGATAAAAGACAGAAGCCAAGAATGAAAAGACAAGTGAACAAGAAAACATGAATAAGGAATGCTCCAAGTTCCTGCCAACAGACCAAGATGAGATGGGAACAGGCTGTGAGCTTGGGGCAGTGTCACACAGGTCCACAAGTCAGGCCAAAACCCATCCCAGTCTTGCTGAAAAGGAGCAAGTATAATCAACCCACAGCTGCACCCTAATCCCAGGAGGTTGGGGGATATTTGAAGCAGAAAATGGTCTCTGTACTCAAACATATTAATGTCACAGACTATTGATCAGTCTACAAAGCAAGCTCCCAAAACTCCCAGAATGTTTAGCCCCAGTGAGAGCCCTACAAGGCACTGGGGTTCCCACTGCCCATGTCTAGGACCCCCGCTCCCTTACCCTCCCTTCTCTCTCTGCAGGAACTGTCAGCCCGCAAAGAGCGTGAAGCTCAAGTCAGTGCCTCCCGACGCTCTTCTTGACCAACCTGACACTACAGACTGTCTCCTGCTTGGCACCTGGCTCAGGTGCCCACCAGGTCCCATCTCACACATCCTCCTTCCACCTCCTCACATCTGGCAGGACCTTGGTGAACTTGTATGGGAGCCACTGAGGAATGAAGGCTTGCCAACAGCAGATGCCACCCTACTCCTGGCTATTACTGTGCAGCAAAGCCAGGAGGAAGGGGAAGGTGACCACCAGAAACTTTATCAGAGGACATTTTAAAGCAGGTTGTTTTATTTTTTTTCCCTTGGTTTCTCCTCTGCCTTTCTTTAACATGGTTCTTTAAGACATAAAGGGTCAGATGCAGGAAAGGATCATTCCTTATCACAGAGGCTACCGTCTCTTGCAGTAATGAGATGTGCTCTGGCTGGGTGGCCTTGGTTAATGGGTCTCCTGGCTGCTAATCAGTTGGAAATCCTCTTCAACTTCTCATCAGCCTCACGGGTTTGTTGAAGGCAAATATGGAGCTGTGGACACGTGGTGGTTAAGCAGCGACTCTGTGGTGTAGGAGAGTACCCAGCTCCCTCGAATCTGCAGTCCCGGGTCTCTAATGCATCATCCCCACCACAGCCCATTCCACAAACGTCAGCGGGGAGTCCACCAGAAGGGCAGGCACCGTGCCAGGCCGTGCCTTCAGGGGTTACAGTCCGTGTGGGAGACCCACCCCACACGAGCACTGCACAAGCATCCCGTGCGGCCATGAAGACGATGCCCTCGTGGTGCCCCTCATCCTGGAAGGGCAGGGGGCAGCTAATCAGAAATAAAGAAATGAAACAAACATGAGAAACTCGGAGACACACGGAGTGACTGGCTTCAGTTTGGAGTGGCTTTGTGCTCTTCCAGGATCTGCTGCAACCCAACCCAGCAACTGAGAAGGGGAGGGGGGGAAGGCTCCTCTGGGTACTTCAGCAGCTGTCATCAGGGGGCAGCTTGCCAGCCTAGGGCCCCACCTGTTTCCTCCTAGTAGACCCAAAAGGTGAAGGAGGGAGGCGGTGACCCTGGTCACCAAGAACCCTTATCTGGCCCCCCACCCCAGCAGTCCCGACACCTCTTATCGCATGTGTTCCCATCACACTGAAAATCCACAGTTCTTTATATGAACATTTCACCAACACTCTTCTCCCCCACTGAACCAAAGCTCTAAAAAGTCAGCTTGTTTGCATTTGTGGCCACTGTACCCCAGTGCGGGCCTGTCTGGCCCACGATGGGAGCTCAGCAGGCACATGCTGAGTGAGTCAGCAAGCATGAAGGTGCAGCGATGGGAGATGGGAAGAAGACACCCAACCCAGCACCATGTCCTGAGGCAAAGGCCCTTAGTTGACAGATTTAATGTGGGGGCAAGAGGGCATCTGGTGATGCCACCCTAACAACACGAAATTTAAGCTGAAGAATTGATGAGCCAGGCAAAAATGGGGTGGGTGGGGGGAGAAGGTTTTTTTTTTTTTTTTTTTTTTTTTTTTTTGTTTTTTGTTCTATTTCTTTTCTTACTACTTTTTTTTTTTTCTTCTTCTTCCCCTCTTACCAGAAACAGATCAAGAAAAACTTAATTACAAGGTACGGCACCAAAGTTAAATGAAAATGTAATCCGGCAATACGGAAAGTAAATTGATTTTTTTTTTAAAGATAGATTTTTAGTTAGAAACAAAAAAATACATTGTTCTCCCTGGAAACATTTGTTAAAACTATGTTTGATTTCGGGCTGAAAAAAAAAAAAAAAATCAGAGCTAACCCATAACTCTGAGGTCACTCT